CATTTGAGGCTTCCACTTCTGACCTAAAGGTGGAAATTTCTCTTCCTCTGCTCTGAATGTCAGAATCGAAAAATCTAGTTTCCATAAAAAAAAAAAAAAAGAAAAAGAAAAAGAAAAATGAAAGAAAGACAAAGAAAATTTTTCAATAATTCCAGCTCAGTTACCGTCCCATATCTCCAATTTGTCTTCTGTTATTTGGGCATCCTCAGTGACCACCCACAAGTCAAGAATAATATTTCCCTGTTTCAGGGTTTCTCAATCTTGGCATTACTGACATTTTGGATTGAATTCTTCTTTTTCATGGGGGCTATCCTGTGTATTGTAGGTTAGTTGGCAGCATCCCTGGCCTCTACCCACTAGATGCCAGTTGCATCTTACACCCTAGTATGATGACCAAAAATGTCTCCAGACATTGCCAAATGCTTCCTGGAGGGAAAAATCACACCAGTTGAGAAATACTGCCTTATTTTGAAATAGACTGAAAAATTGAGACCTGCAATTCTGGATGGAACTAGGCAGGATGCCATGATGGAGACTTTGGGTAAAAGTATGAAATTTTTTGTTTCCTTACCTGAGCAAGCATGTAAGTCAATTGCCCACAAATTATTTTTTTCTGCAAGAAATGGAACTTCATTTTCATATAAATCATTTTAATTTTAAGAGCTCATTCATCCTGGCGGCTAGAAAATGTTATCATGTTTATTTCTATCTATATAAACAAAATAATTTATCATTTTGGCTGAGTCAATTCAGAATGTTCTACTTTTCCTCAGAATGGATTAGTGTTACTGAGGCTTCTTAGAGGGAGGGGAGATGTTTAATCAGTGGTGGTCCTGGCATTCACCAAAGTGAAACAATGTCATTTAGTTTTTGGCTCGGGTATTGCTCCATCTGACATGTGATGAAGCTTCCTTGAGCTCCCTGGACTCCAGCGGTATAATCAATGCCACCCGAGGTTGCAATATTCATCACAAATATAAGTCATCTGGCCCCATCAGCTCCCAGTGTCCACTTATTTTACCCCAAAACACACAAGAAAACATTTGGCTCACAAGCCCAGACGGGCCAGACAGCCATTCTCCTTCCCCACACAGCCTTAGGCTGGGGAACTGCAGGGTTCTTCCCTCCATGAGAAACTAAATCAAGTCATCAAATTCACCTGGAATTTCTGCATTTCATTCACCTGAAGGGTGAGGCGAGGGCAGAGGGTCCCTTCTTTGTCACTCACATACCTATCTATCTAACTGTGTCTCCCTCAGTTTTAGAGGTGGTAGGAAAGGAAAAGTGACCAAGTAGATAGTAGAAGGGATGTAGCAGCATAAAAGATATATAAATAAAAGTTAAATGTGATCATTCAATTTTTAAAAAAATATTTATGAATAATTTGAAGGAAAAGCTCTCATGAAGTGAAGTTTATTGAACTCAAGTACCATGAAATGAAAGTGTGCAAAGGATTTTAATGTTGTTTACATAACTGGCAATAAAACCCTATTCTCATTTTATCAGTTTCAGATCTGGAAACTACTGTAAGTCCTCACTTAATGTCGTTGATAGGTTCTTGGAATTGCAGTGAAATGACTTTTAAGGAACCAATTTTACCACAGGCTAATTGATATAAACAAGAGTTAAGTTACTGCTGCATTTCATCAATGTTATAACAAAGCAACCTTAAAGGAAATGCTATTCAAGGACCTGCTGCACTAGATGACGGATATCTAAAGTTCCAAAGTTCAGGGAGCCAGATTCCCAATCTCAGAATCTGAGTCACTTCCTGCTTACAGTGCTGACCCTCCTAGGTCAGTAAAGAGTATCAAATGAAAAGCGGAACTAGGGCTTCAGGCAAAACTTTCAGTCCAGAGAGTGCCGAAGGTCATGATTTGACTGCCTTTGCTCCAAACTTACAGCAAATGATAGATAAAATATATGGAAAGAGAGCATCATAGTGATGCTGGACCCTGAAACAAAATTAAACACCTTTTGAACAAGAAAATGGAAAAGAAAACAAAGCAATGAAGTGTGGATCTGCTGGGCCCTTGGCCTGAAGAAGTCAGTCACCTCTGCTAATAGGTGAAGGCTCATTGCCCTGAGTGAGCTGAAGTTACTTTGTTGCTTTTGACTGTTTGTAAGCTAGGTGGCCACAGAATAACCTCTGCTGATATGCATCCTAGCCTGCAGATTTATAGGAAACCATGAACTTGGGGAAGGAAAGGGGAGGAACCAAGAATCAAATCCTATGTACTGGTTCAATTACAGATACAGCTGCAGTATTCCACAGGAAAGAAGTCCCCAAAAGCCACTCTAAGACCTAGGTTCACAGGGAGATAGATGGAGGCACTTAGGGAAAAATGAGTGTGAGGGGTAAAAGAGAACAAATTAATAACTAAAAATACCTGCATACCAATGTTCTAAAATACACAAATGGAATGCTAATAAAAAACAGTCAACAAAATCAACAATAATATCATGAATGTACAGCCAATTAATTTTGTAGAATGGTTTAACAAAAACTTTAACTATGCTTATGGCACTCTAAGGTATAATTGAAAGAGACCTTGAAGAATTTATGAAACAAAAAAGGAAGAAGTAAGACATGTAGATATTGAAAAAGAACCTGTTCAAAATATTATAAATGAATATTATGGAAATTAATTATTAAAACTATCGGGTAATGGGAAAACCCTGGATGGGACACAGAGTACAAATTTTGAATCAGAAATTAGTATTGGGTGATTTCATAATATGCTGCCCAAAGAGATAAAGGGGTAACAATAATGAGAGAGTTGTTATTAGATAGAGGAGTTTGAGAAACTCCAACTTATGTCCATTAGGAGTCCCAGAAAAAGAGGATGGAGGGAATTGCAGATAAGCAATAGTTGACAGGATAATAGTTGATGATTTATCAAAACTGAAAAAAAAAAATGAGTCCTTAGTTAGAAGACACAGCCTATTAAATTGCTACAACGTAGTAGGTGAAACTACAGAAAATTGAGGATAAAGAGAATAATCTTAAAAGCTATCAAAAAGGAAAGACAGTGACTACAAAAGAATGTCAGCTAGACTGACAGCATACTTCTCATCAACAGCAATAGAGCCAGAAGACAGGAGAGTATCTTTAAAGTACTAAGGAAAAATAACTAGAAATTTATAACCATTTCAATCACCTGCGAACAAGGGGAAAAAAGGCATTTTCAGATACATAAAATGTTTTACCACACATAGACTTGCATTAAACAAAGAGGTTAATAAAATTTGATTGTAAAAGTTAAAAAATAAATAAATAAAATAGAAATATTTTTTAAATTAAAAAAGTAAAACTAAATCTTTGAAAAATAATGTGATAGGGGATGTCAGTGGGCAGTTAAAATTGCTAAAATATGTATTATGTTTGAAGGAGAAGAGAAATATAAAATTTAGACTTTATAAGAAAATGAAGTTATAAATATTTTTTATTTTAATAATCACCAAAAGAATAGAAATAAATTTTACAGCTTCTAAATCAGCAGAAGTAAAAAGATGGATAATGAAAATGTTATCTAAACGCAGAAAACAAAAAGAGGGGGAGACAAAGAAAGGGATGGTAAATGGAAAACAGAAAAGATTGTAGAAATAAACCCAAGTACATAAAAATTACAATAAATGTAAATGGGTTATTTTCATCAATTAAAAACTGTTTAATTGGAAGATGTTATTTTAAGGTACAAACTTGTAACTAGTAGATCAAGAAGTCCTGTATAGCTAAGGCACAGCATAGTGACTATAATCAATAATACTGTATTATAAACTTCAAAGTTGTTAAAAGACTAGATCTTAATTGTTCTCAGCACAAAAAAAGAAATGATAATTATGTGACGTCTTAGAGGTATTAGCTAACACTACAGTGGTAGTCATGTTGTAATATATAAATGTATCAAATCAACACGTACACCTTAAACTTATACAATGTTACATGTCAATTATATCTCAATAAAAAAATGTTTACTGTATAGCATATGAGACAGATATACTTTTTAAAAGTAGGTTATAAAATAAAGAATCCCAAATAGCCAGTAATCCTGGGGGAATGGAAAATAAAACAATGAGAACCATTTAAAACCCACCAAACTGTTGAAAATTAAAATGTCTGACATACCAGGTAAAGCTGCAGAACAAGGAGAAGTTTAACATGTAGCTGGTGGGAATATCAATTGATAACAATCACTATGGAAACAATTTGGCAACATGTAGTAACTATAGATATATAGAATATTTTCCCTAGCAATTCTACTTTTATATCTTATATATTATCATAGAAGAACATCCAAGTGTATAAAAAGAGACATTTACAGCTATTTGAAGATGCATTGTGATTATGAAAAATAAAAAAACAGTTTAATGTACGTATAACATGAATTGTTATAGTATAGTCACACCGTGGAATACTATCAGTAGATGAAAGAAATAAATTTAAGCTGAAGATAACATAGATATTTCTTTAAAAATAAGTCATGTCAAAACAAGTTAAAGTGATAGATAGTATGATCTTATTCATACTTCATTCTGAAACATGATAAATAATACTATACATTATTTATGGTTAAATATATATGTTGTGATGGTGCATGAGAGTAATAAATTCAAGTAAAAAGTCAAGTGCATGGGAGTAATTGATTCAAGATTGTCATTACCTCTGGGGAGAAGGGAGGGGAATTAGCTCTGGGAAAGTAGGGGCTTCAATTCTATCTAATGTTTATTTCTTTTTAAAAATATATGAAGAAAATATGGCAAAATAGAGTGATTTAATAAAGTTACATAATGAATACTTGGGTGTTTGTTATATTCTATGCTTTCCTATGCATTGGAAGTTTTCCCCAATTTTGAATTATATTTGATTTATTAAAAAAAATAGTAGGGGAGGTTTGCAATAGGGGACATTCGGTTAGCCAAAAAATTGGACAATTGACTGTGATGGAGAAATCCAAGGAGAAAAATAGAAATGTAACAATTTTGATCTATCATTTCAGACACATGTATGACCACTTCATAAATCTCTACCCACAGCTGATTAAGAAACCTTCCATCGTGGATAAAGTGCAGGAGTTTATGAAGTATGTATAATAGCTTTTTTCTTCTCATTGTTACTGAGGCTATAGGACCTAAAAATGTTATTTCAAACAGCAGTTTTTCCTTCACCAATTTCTTTTTCTGTCTCTCTGGCAGGCCTCTGAAGTTGTATGTGTAGTGAGGTATAGCACCCTTTTGGTAATAGCATGAAAACTAGTGGCAGACAACATGCCCTTGAATTTGGTCTCTTTGGAGGTCAGGTTGAACATTGGTGACACAGCTGGAGGAAGACACCATCATTGTAAGGCAGGCAAAATTTAGTCTACCCCGGGAGCCCCTCTTCTTGCCGAGATCTGTCTTCCTCCCTCTGTAAGGTACAGGCTTGGTGACTAATCCTAGCTGGGGTGTTAACTCTTATCTAAAGTCATAATTCTTAACATCCTCTGAGAATATTTTCATTTAATAAAGTTTCCTGAAGACGAATAAATTCTCAATATTCAAAAAATATGCTATATGTTTGCAGAATGATAGACTGTGAGATTAATTTGGGGATTGAAGAGCTCTTGGTTTAGCCCTCCAAATTACACATTAATCTCTTCATCAAATGCTAAAGTTCTACACAGCATCACTTAAAAACCATTGAGCTTTATCTCATGCAGTGACATTGTATTCTAAGATCTATGGATAGCCTGAACAAATCAGTATACAGTTATGTCAGATCATCCCCTATGAAGTGCAGAAAACCAAAAGAAGAGAAATGAAATAAAAGGACTATAAAAAACCCTTTTTTTTTTTTTTTTGCTAAGCATTCTAGGACAGAGGTATTGAGGCAGTTATTAGTGACAACTAAAATAGAATGAACCATAAACTATGAAAATTACCTGAAAGAAACATAAACATATACAAAACATCTTGCCCTTAGGAGTTTTCATTTTTTCCTGTTTTTTTTTTTTTTTTGCCTCTTCTACCTACAAAAGTATGTTAATGAATGAATTCTTACTGATTTAGTGAGACATTATGATTTGATGTAAAATGCATTTGAATGGTCTATACTTGACTTTCTTAGGTCTCAGTATCACAGGTAGGTAAACATTACGCCTGTGTTTCAATTCCAGCTAGAGCATGGAGGAAGCTACAAAAGAAGAGTCATAGTCTCAGGGAGAAATTAAAAGTCATTTCGGATTTGCCCTGATAGCTTTTCAAAGTGATTAGAATGTTCCAAGATCCAGAATTTAAATTATACTAGCGTAATTATCTGAATATGTAATCTCTAAATGTCTGGGTTTACTTTAGCTTTAAATGAGCAACCATGGAGACCTGCAGTACAAATCTCATTTCTCTTCCAGGAAGCAAGAAGAATGGGCACGTAATAACATCAAATATTATAAGGATGACCCATTTTGGAGACATACTGGCTATGTTATGGCACAAATGGATGGGCTGTATGTAGGAGCGATGAACAGGGCTACATTAATAGGGACAAAGGTAAGATTAAGAAGCTACTCAGGATTTCTTTAAGGTAATTTTTAAAATTACATTCCAGCTTAGAAGCAGATCAAATTAGGACTAGAGTATATATTTCTTGCACACAGGTACTGTCTTATTTATCATATTGCTAGCACCTGACTCACTATCTGACACAAATTCAAGCTTACTTATTTCTGTTTTTTTTTTTTCTCAATCTCTTTTATTATGCTTTCTCTGAAGCAGGTAGGAATGTACTGGTTATCTAAATAACCTAATAAAGCTAGTGTTTTGGATGATATGACTGTTAAAGCAAAATGTCTAACTGTACATATTCTATGCTTCCCTTACTCTGCAATATACACACACATGCCCATGCATTGTAATTTTGTTTTGAAAGCTTTACTGAATCATTGAGGATTCAAAGGTACCATTTAATATACTACCAAAAATTATAGAGATTTAGAGATTTTGTTTCCTGGATATATATATCTTCACATACATATAACATATACATATATGTTGGACAAAATATACAATAGACAGTTCTTAGAAAAGTGATGCAAAAAATTCTTACTCGTATGAACTCAGCCTTTCTCATAAGATTAGAAATACAAACTAAAACCATACTGAGAAATACTTTCTCACTTATCAATTTGGCAAAAATTCTAAAATGTTAAAGCATACTCTGTTGGCAAGGCTATGGGGAAAAAAGACACTTGCTTAAAATACCAGTGAGAATGCAAATTGGTATGCCCACTATAGACAGGAATTTTGGCACTCAGTACCAAAGTCACATACTCATTTACCCTTTGACCCAGTAATCCCACTTCCAGGATTAACACTAAAGTTCACTGGCAAAATCACAAGCCTATTCATTGTAAATAATTTGTAATAGCAAAAAACTGAAAACAGCCAAATACAGAAAAGACTAGATGCATAAAGGATATAGCTGCAGACAGGAATGTGGTAGTTCTCAATATACTGTTATGGAGTGACCTTCAGGATCTGTTATTAACTGTAAAAAATAAAGACTAGTGTATATTGTGTGCTACCTATACATAAGAAATGGAGGTAGATGATAATGATAGATGATAGATAGATAGATAGATATAGATGGATGGAAGGATGGATGGAAGGATAGATGGATGGATGGATGGATGGATGGATGGATGGATGGACGAATGGATGGATTTGCTTATCTTTTCAAGCAGAAACAACAATGAAAGAATAAACCCAAAACTAAAAATAATTACTTATAAAAGAGAGAAGAAAAGAGAGTGTAGGCCAGAGAGATGAAAGCTACATTTCTCTGACTATAACTTGCTTTATATACTTGACTTTGAAACCAGGTAAATGCTGTTCATAACTATAAAACAAAATTTAATCGCAAAGAAGAAACAGTCTCCGAAATCTGAAAAAAAACTTACACAAAAATATCTAACTGTATTTCAAGTTCATGGCATAATCACAGAGAGCAATTATTGCTGGTGACCTTAAAACACAGTTATTGTTGCATATCCTTAGTGGGTCAGACCCTAAGGATGAGAATAATGACAAAAAGATTTTAAAAAATTAAATAACCTTAAACTGTATTCAGTAATCTTACTTAATAATATTGGTATTATTATTTTGAAATTTGATAGAGTTTGGTAGATATAGCAAAATAAAAGAAATAAGTAAATATGTTGGATATCAAGATTTCCAATGTTAAAAATCAATGAAGACACTGTTTTTAAAGTTAAATAATTAGCTTGTTTTTTTTTTTGTTTGTTTGTTTGCTTGTTTGTTTTTTGTTAAAATGTCTTTTTTATTTGTCCTCCCACCACCTCTGTCTGATAAATGGTTTGTATGTAGATGCCCAGCCCCAGGATGCTCTGGTGGATTGACTCTTGTGGGAGCAGTGCTGTCTAGTTAGCACAAAGTTCATATGAAGTTCAAGTCTGATAAATGCTCCTGGGTTAATGCTGTCAAGTCGGTTAGTCTTAGGTTAAGCACACAATCAAAATCAAAAGCATCTTAGTTGAATGTTTTTGCTGTAAAGCGGTGAGTCTCAACTAGGGATGATTTCCCTCCAGAGGCTATTTGTCAATGCCTGGAGACTTTGGTTGTCAAAACTGGGGGGTGCTACTGATTAGTGAGTAGAGGCCAGGGCTGGTACTAAACATCCTACAATGCACAGTCTCTGACAGGAAAGAATTATTTGGCCCAAAATATCATTAGCTCCAAGACCGAGAAAACCTGCTGTAGAGGAATGCAAAAAGAATGCTCTGTTTATTTTACTTTCTTGGGAGACTCTCCCCAAATCTGTGGCTCTCAACACATCCTAAAAGTAATCTTTAACTTATAAGATTACTTTATAAGCTAAAATAAAACCTAGTGGTTCTGTTACATTAGGGACCTTTCACAGAGGAATAATTTAATAAATGTCTAACAAGAGGAACAGAAAATGACATCTGACTGTCACAAATCAGTGCCATCTCTGTCCTTTCCCAGCCTATGACACTGTTCCAGATTCAGTTCCTGAATGCTGTTGGAGATCTGTTGGATCTGATTCCCTCACTTTCTCCCCCAAAAAACTCCAGCCTGAAGGTTTTTAAGAGATGGGACATGGGACACTGCTCTGCTCTTATTAAGGTGAGACACACAGCAGCCTTTCTGCTTTTTCTTGTTTTAGTCTGCACACAATTTTTCTATATGTCTCCCAAGTATGGCAACCTCTCACCCCTGGCTATTGCCATAGATCAGCTTTAGTTCCTCTACCGTAGACATGAAGAACTCGAAGGAACTGATGAAGGGAATTGGATGTACGTAATGTTACGCATCTGTTTCTTCCACCATTCTTCCCATGCTGTATGTTTCTGCTACTCTCACTTTCCAGAATCTTCCATTTTGGATGCTAGGACAGAGTCATTCTGTTTCGTGCACATCAAAGGTTAATTTTCTGGTAATAAATATAGAAATAGACACCTGAATTGATATAATCCCTGTACGGTTACTTCACTTATAGTCAGTTATCTATATACCCCTGTGTCATTCACTATGATTCTGGCTATAGGTTCTTCCTGGGTTTGAGAACATCTATTTTGCTCACTCAAGCTGGTACACGTATGCAGCCATGCTCAGGATATATAAACACTGGGACTTCAACATCGTCGATAAAGATACCAGCTGTAGTCGCCTCTCTTTCAGCAGTTACCCAGGTAAATAAATTTAGAGGGACATCTGATTACTCTGAATACTATTTCAGGATAAAACCTTGGTGATTCAGAGTAATTAGAATGGGAGAAATGTTTAGTAGTTAGTATACATTAATGAAATTTGATTTTCAGGTTGCCTTTTGGAGAAATAATAGCTCTAATTCTTTTTAAAAATATAATGACATAAATTAAGTTAATAAAGCTGCCAAAAATTTACTCCAACAAATGCCAACAGAGTATTTATTAAGTACAAGGCACTTTCTTATTCTCTGCTGTGGAAGCAAAGATGAGCAAGCCAGATCCTGCTCTCTGTGTCTCCTTGAGGGCCTATCTCTGTTTCTCTTATTCATTGCAGTATCTACAGCACCTAACCTAGTGTGTGGCACCTAGTACTTAATAAATTTTTGTTTAATGAATGGATGAATGAATGTGCAAGCTTATAAATGTTCCACTAACAAGGTAAGTAGAATACAGATAAGAATAATGTTATTACTGGATACAAACAAACAAACAAACAAAAAACCAACCTAATTATTTAACTTTAAAAACAGGGTCTTCGTTGATTTTTTTTTTTGTATGCTATAAAAGTGGTATAAGAAATGCTGTGAATATTCAAAAGAAGGAGAACATACACCTGATTGATGGGGAAAAAAGAGGTTGACATTTGAGATGACCCATGAGTGATGAGTAGGATTTGGATAGGTAGAGATGGGTGAGAAGGACAGTCTCTTCAGAGTAGGGGGTGCAAACTCCTATGCCTAAAGAAGACAGGCAAATGATGTAAATGAATTAAGGGGACTGATATAGAAAAATAGAAGTGGAAACAACTGTAGCAAACACATGACCCATTGAAAGGTGGCCAACTGCTCAGCTCCCACTGACTGTTGTCATTCTGCAATGTGGAGATCAGTGTTAACAGATTCTCCAACTTCTCAAGAAAGAAATGTGCATTTAAAAAACAAAACCCACTGCATGAACCCAAGAAAGCATGTCTGCTGAGTGGAATGGCCCCCTTAATCTCAGATTTGCAAACTCCTCAGGGAACATCATGAGCAAAGGCAAGGGGAAAATTCTTGCTGAACATTTAAGAGTCAAAGGAGGATGAGATGTAGTCACTTGTGATGTTTAATTATATACCTGTAACTTATAGGATAGTTATACCAACCACCTGTCATATTTATCTGCTGTTGTCAGAGTGTTATTGCCCCTTCTGGTATTATTGCTCCTGATGTTATTAACGCCATTCTATCAGGAATTCTGACCAGAAACATAACTAGATATTTTTCTGTCCTTGTGACCTGATCCTTCCTTTGAGACTACTTTGATTTCATCTTCGTCGTAGTTTGCTCAACTCTTGTCGTATTGAATGGGGGGATTTCTCGCTCTCTATTTGGATTCTTTTGTGTTCCTGTAGACTGAAATTTAAGGACAGTGAGATACTGAGACCCGTCAAATATTCTTCCTCTTCCTCTTATTTGAAATTAAATGCAATGTTCAGATGTTACCGGCACTGCTTTGAAATCTCTGCATAATGGTGTTCTTCCAAGGTCTTAACAGTTCTGCATTCCAAGGGTAGTGATGGTGAAGGACATAAGGGATTTCTTATGAAACTTATGATTCTCTTAACACTTGCATATATATCCTTCCAGAATACATAGATACATAGATAATAGAGATTCTTAAAGGAATTAAACTGAGAGAGAACGAAAGGATTTTTTTTAACCTCAAGGTGTTTTAACAGGTGCCAGTGAAGCAATGTAATTTATATTTTCTCTAACCAGACAGCTTTGATCTCAACAGAATACATGAAATACATGTAGAATCTTATTCATTACAAAGGATTGTTTGATTAAGAGATCTGCCACATTGGATTTATCCAATAGATATGGAACTAAGTTTTGTCATGAACATCATGCCATGGGAACTGTTGATCCCAGAACAAACTGGATGGTTTGTTTGTTTTCCTTTGGTGGAGGAATTCCATGGTTACTGGGTGAATTAGAAGTGTGGTGTTAGTTTCATATTGAAGAGGGCAGGACCTGGAGGCTCTTCATGATATAAACAAGGATATTCAAAATTGCTGAGTCAGAACAGACAGATCAAGTCACGAAACATTTGTGACTTGGCTGAGGCTCGTGTTAAAGATGATGATAACTGGGATGGTACAGATGCCACCATACTAAGGATATGGTTAATTCCGAAGATCGCATGCACCTATCCATATTTTTACTATGCATTTTGACCCTCCTGCCAAAGTCTGACCACCAAGATGATTGCTATGAGAAACTCTAAAGCTTCAAGACACAGTGAACTTTTTTTTTTTTTTTTGAGTTTTCCAAACAGGAAAAAGGTAGAGAGGTTGGACAGCTGCTAAAATGTTACTGAATATATGAAGTCCAACTATTTTACTTCAGCGAACCTGTTTTTTTATTTGTAGAATGAGGCTAATATAAGGCTTACTTCATAAAGTTGTAAACATTAATTTATTCGTTCATCAACAAGTTTCTGTTAAATTGTGCTAGGCAAAGTATTTTCAATGGAGAACAGGACAGATACAAATTCTACTTGAATAAAATTTACATGCTGGTGAAAAATAGAGACAAATAAAAAAAAGCAATGATAATAAAATATAATTTGTGTAATAATACAAAATCCTAGTTTGGGGATGTTGAGATAGCTTCTAAGAGAAAGCTATCTCAAGTATAAATTAGACAAGTATAAGTTAGCCAGGCCATTGGGGATAACGGAGTGGCACAAATGGCATGTGTAAAAGGCCTGTAGGCAAGAGAAAGTATGGAGAAGGCCAGAGAGAAGTGAAGAGCAATTCAAGACTTTTAAAGTGACAAATGGTAGTGGCACTAATAGAGATTTGCATTTTAGAATTATCTGGCTCACGAAAGGAGGACAAAAGAGGCTGCCACAGAACATTTAGAAGGCTGATACAATAATCCAGGTGACTCAAATCACACAATGTTTTGTAGATGGTCAAATAATGTATAGGTGGGAGATTAATATCTATCTTCAAGAAGAAAAGAAAATGTCAAAAACGACTGCTGAGTTACTGTAGCACGTCATGACTTTCTGCGTGCTCCTGTTGTCCTAGCCGGAATCCTTGAGGGATAATGACCTAATAAGAATTGCCAGAGGAGCACTCTCAATCGCACCCCAGCAGAGGAGAATTGAAGGAACAGTAGTACTCCTTCGCAATACATTCATCAATATTACAAAGGGATTTACTGTCTCCAGCACACCCAGGCTTATCTAAGCCAGTCCCATGCTCCGAGTTCAACAAAACCCTAACTGACTCCATAAGAAAAAAAAAAAGAGAGAGATGGTTAAGGAAGTAAATTAATATAACCACCCCATCTTCATCTAGAAAGGATTTAAGTGATTTGGTAGCTTAATAGGTTCAGCCCTTTTAGTCTGTTTTTAAAAAACAGAATAGGAATTTCGTTTACCTTTGGAGAAATTATCTGAAGATGCTAACATAAAATGTCCTGAGGAAGTCAAAAGTATACCAAAAGTATAACAGGTGCTGATAAACTTAGCACCACCCTTAAGCCCAGGTGAGTGAAGTTCCAGCTTTGAAGTCCCTTCCTCAAAATTTCCTTAGTGCCCCTCCAGCAGAGACCAGCCACACTGAAAATACTGGTGCATCCTGGCTCTGGTCTGTGTCCCATGTGTATCTGATTTAGGAAGCACCTTTCCGAAAGTTTTCTAAATAATCTTTCCAGTGCCCAAGACCAGCCAGCATAGCAGAGCCATCCAAGTGGGGCAAAGCTCAGACAGGTACCCATGTGGGTCCTGGTCCCTGTATCTCCCTTTTCTGGGGAGGTTTTTTGCCTCTACCCACACCCACAGGCAAGTTCAGCAAGGTGCCATGAGGAGCTCTGGGACTCGAGCCTATGAGGTGGTCCTTTTAAGTTAGATGCTTCCTGCTGGCCCTCATGATCGAGCTGACAGAATGTTGATGACAGGTCGAGTTTGGATTACTCTCATGTCAGATGTAGCCTGTGTTCAGGGCTCTAAGCTACCAAAGGTCACGCTTACTCTTGAGCTTAAGCAAGTATGTGGGCCTCTGCATTCATCTGTGTTCTCATTGCAGTCCCACCTTCCTTCTACAGCACCCAAGGGTAGCAGGGGAGGTGACAAATGAAATTTTACTCTGTGTACTCTGCTGCTGGCCCCGGCGGCAGTCACCTCAACCTGCTGCAGTCTTCTGGAGAGAGCTGGGCCTGGCCCCGAAGGGCTTTCGAGAACCTAGCTCCACAGCACCAATGGGCCTTTCAAAATATCTTATGCCTCCAGTTAATGAGTTGGCTTCCCACTCTCACAGGTCAGTCTTACGCTGCATGAATATTCCCTGTGCAATTGGGACTGCTCTTCTGGCTCTGCCTACAGCCTTGCCCACTGGTTGGGGTGTGTTAAGGGTGAGGGTGTGCAAAGAGATCACATTCTAGGAATGCAAGGATTATAGCCTAAGGAGTCCAAGAGAAAACACAATTTGAAAATGTACTGATCTATGCTTATGCTATAAAATTCTGAATCGAACTTTAATGACCATAAAATGAATCATGATTCACATTTTTCTTAACACTCTGGGTAAGACTCGCATTTGTGGTCATCATTAGCAAATCACAGTAATGATCTTTGAGAGAGTCATTAGCAGCCAGAATTCACTGATGGCACAATAAATATTACAGAGTCATTAAGTAAATGGTGTTAGGGAACTGCAGAGGCAAAGAAAGAAATCTATGTTGTTTCGGTATAAACAGGTTACAAAGAGTCATAGCTTTGTAGTACTAACAGTGTTGCTACCTTTTTCTCATGGTGAGAGATATAAAATTATCCAGGAACAATGTATTTCATAATAAAGAATACAAAGAGATGGTACCTGGACACTATAAGGAATCTTCACATGCACTGATTAGATAATAGACAAATACGTTAGTACTTTTCTCTACCCATTATTCTAAATGTTCATTAATAAATCACTATGGGCC